AGGAGATAGAGAGAGAGAGAGAGAGAGAGAGAGAGACAGTGAGAAAGAGAGAGAGAGAGACAAGTGAAAAACGAAAAAAAAAAAAAAAATTCAACTTTCGAGCTAAAAATTTTTTTTTTTTTCCATCGGGGAAAAAAATTCCAGAATTGATGTTGTTCTTTTTTTTTTTTTTCCCCCCTTCCCAACCCCTCTCTCTCTCTCTCTCTCTCTTTCCCCCCTTCCCAATCCCCCTCTTCCCTCTGTGTATTTTTTTCTAATTGGATTTCACGTGGAAAGTGATTGATTTCAAACAAATGAAATTGCAAAAAAATTCATTCATTCATTCATTCATACATTTCCGACTTTTTTCTGTTTGATTAATGTTTTTTTTTTCGTTTTTCGTTTTGTTTCAAGGGAAAGGGATCGAGGGGGGGGGGGGTAAGTGGAGGGGGACAAAGGGAAAGGACCCAACAGTGAGAAGACAAAAAAAAAAAAAAAAAGGTTTCGAGCCAAAGCAAAGCAAAGCAAAGCAAAGCGAAAAAAATAAAAAAAAAAATCATAAATTTTAATGTCTTTCCGTTCGTTCGCCGTTCGTTTCCAGTAGTTAAAAAGGCATGACGACACAAAAATTATTATTATTATTATTATTGCACCGCCATTTTCTTTTTTTTTTTTTTTTGTAAAAAAAAAAACATTAATCACGAATCTGTCACGAATACCCAATGACGGATGTGACAAAATAAAAATAAATAAATAAATAAATTTTTTTTTTTTTTTCATGCCCATAAAAAATTTCATCGCGGAAAAAAATAAATAAAAACCGGAATTCATTTTTAATAACCTCCATAGAAAAGAATTTTTTTTTTTTTTTTTTGGACAAATAGTTTTTTTTTGTCGGCCAACTCGAAAAAGAATGAAAGTCGGAAATGATAATAATAATAATAATAATAATAATATTTCGTAAACGGAAATTCTTACAACAAAAATTTTTTTATATTTTATGACGTTTTTAAAAATTTCTTCTCTCCTTTCCCCTCCCTCTCCCTCTTTTCACTCTATTTCTCCTGCATTTCTACGGGTTTTTTTTTTCGAAACAACAACAAAATCTTGAAGCACTTTTATTTCCTCTCTCTCTCCCTCTTTCTCCCCCCCCTTTAGGGTCAACTTCCGGTTTTAAAATCCCTTTTTCATTTTTTCCTATTCGGGCAGGCAAACGAAATTTTTTTTTTTTTTTTCACTTAAATTTAATTTATACGATTTCCGATTATAATAATTGTAATTTTTTTTTTTATTATTTGTCGTGTCACTAGAATTTTACAATTTATTTTTTTAACGTAATTTTTTTTTCACATTAAACAAAAAACCGATTCGAAGAGAGAGAGAGAGAGAAAATTAATGATAATAATTAAAATCGGTCGTCGTTAAAAACAATTTAATAAAAAAAAATATTCTCTCAAAATCGACATTAATGACGCTTTAATTATTATTATTATCATTATTATTATTACTTCTCTCTCTCTCTCACTCTATCTCTCTCTTTCCTTCGTAATGATAGTTTTCCTACCTTTTTTTTTTTCCTTTCCCAAAAAAAAAAAAAATTAAAATAAAATAAAATAAAAAAAAATTCAGGTTGCGACTCGGTCGTTTCGTCTCTTGAATTTTAAAACGAAATAATAATAATAATAATAGTAATAATAATAATAATAATTTTTTGTTGGCACGCTTGAAAAAGAGACCACGTACGTGTACCGTATATACTGGTTCAAGGTTTCTCGACGGGCGGGGAGAAGAGAGGGAGACTCGAGAAAATACGGGAACCGAAAATTTTCACAAAAGGAAATCTTCCACCCGCCGCCGCTGCCACTTCACCCCTCTCCTCGGGGGAAAAAAAATTAACCTTTTCGCGTCTTCCCAAAAATTTTATCCACGCAACCCCTTACTCCCCTTCCCCTCAACCTCTCTCTCTCTCTCCTTCACTTTTCCAAAACGATACGAACGAAGGATACCATCTTAATTATAAACCAAAAATTGTTTTCGTCTTTTTCGTCTTCTTCTTGTTGTTTTCCGTCCAGCGACAACCTTGAACCGACCTGGTATTTACTAAAATCGTGAAAGTAAATTTTTCAAAAACGGAATCTTATATAAATCCCATCATCATCATCATCATCATCGTGGGAATAATAATAAATTAATACGTCGATCAGAAGGAAAAGAATAAAAACAATAAAAAAAAACGGAAACCGGAAACGGAAGAAGAGATGGAGGAGGAGGAGGAATGGCGGTAACGAAACGAAAAATTAATAAAAAATATTCTCCCCCTTCTCCTTCTCCTCCGACTCGGCGGAAATGAGGGAACAAAATCTTCAACTATCAATCACCATCATTTCCAGAAATGCAGACGACGAAAAAACGTTAGTAATTTCCCGTTTGAGTTTTTTTCCATAAACCCGCCCACACGTTTTAAAACTACACGATAGGATAATAATAATAATAATGATAATAATAATAAGAATTACGCGAAGATAATGAACGAAAGATGAAAATTTTACATGATAATAATAATAATAATAAAACGTTTTTATTGCAAATTCATTTAATACGAATTTATGAACGCATCATTGATTACGTCATTAAAAATTCAAATCCGAAACGAATTTATTTATTTATTTATTTTTTTTTTGTCTTCTACTTCCACGACTACTTCAACTAACGTCAATAATAATAATAATATTAACGAGGTTTTATTTTTATTTTTTTTTAAAAACCGGATCGAAATTTAAAAAAAAAAACGAAGAAAGGAAACGGTTCAGTTATGGCGAAACAATTAAACTAAAAAAAAGTTCTTCTGCTTTTTTTTTTTTTTGGTCTTCCACACACACATGGACAAATACCATCTTCCTCCTTCTCCTCCCCCTCCTCCTTGTCCTTCACCTTCTTTTTCTAATTTCACGTTCGACTTGTAATACTTTCGTTTAACTTTCGTTTTACGTGACGACAACGAAGACGACGACGACGCCATTTTAAAACAAAAAAAAAAAAAAAGACAAATTTTTTCCCTTTCGACCGACCGTTCAACTTCCGGTTTCCTTTAACAAAACATCGAATCCAGAATCGTCTGAACAAATAGAGAGAAAGAGTGAGAGAGAAAGAAATCAGGAGAACAAATTTAAAAAAAAAAAAAATCCCGGAAATGATTCCCCAATCGTTCGTTTTTTTTTTCGCGCGCGCGAATTTTTCAAATTTTTCTTCTGACACGTCACACGCACAAACCACACTCGTAACAATTTTTTTAAACCAAATCGACGACTATTTTAAATCATCGTAAACACACACAACAACAACAACAACAACAAACGTTGCTCTAAAAAATTACATAACAACATAATCAATCACGTAATTTTTTTTTCTCTCTCTCTCTCTCTCTGCACAAAATTATCATTATTATGGATAATAAATTCCAATGCGGAAATCGATTGTTTTTATAATTATTAATTCGAAACAAAACCTTAAAAAGAAACGAACAAACAAACAGACGAGATTCGTTTATTAATCGGGTATGCATATATATCTAAACAAATTAACGGATTTCTTCTTACCTTCTTTATCCTAATGAATTCCTTTAAAACATTTTTTTTTCTTTTTCTTTTTCGATTAAATCCAATTATTAAAATGTGATAAATAATAAATTCCAATCAGACGAAATCAGGCTGCCAACATAATTCCATATTACACATTATTTTAACCAGGAATTCCAGGAAGAAAGAAAAAGAATCATCGTGCGTTCGTGTGTGTGTGTGTGTTTTTATACGCGTATTGCGTCGTGATATCTTCTTATTTTCACTAATTAATTAATTACGAATCGTCGTGAATATAATATATATAATTAACACTTCAAAAACAAATATAATAAATATTATTATTTATTAATAATGATGGTGGTGGTGTTGGCAAAACCTAAAATTTCATAATCCAAAATTACGCACTAATTATCACTATTCTGCTATACACACACACGCGCGCGCGGGAAATAATAAAATTGATAATGAACGAATTCTTATTTAAGAGAAACAACTGATTTAAAACGCGGGAAATTTTATAACTATATAATTATTATTATTTTCACTTATGTATCTATACATATGTATAAACGAAATCGCGTAATATAAATGACAATTTATTAAATAAAGAAAAAGAAAAAAAAAACCGTGATTGAAATTTTACGTTCTGTGAAATGCACTCACTTAAACGATTCGAAACAAGTTATAACTAACGACTGACTATCAATCGGAAAGTTTTTAAAATGGCCGACGCGATCGAAGCGTCATCTATCAATTAAAAAAATTAACTAAATTCCGCCATTTTTCTTTTATTCTTTCTTTTAAATTTTATATGGCAAAAAAGAAAAAATAGAAAATATTTCGATTACCTATTCCCAATTTTCTTTTCTTTTCTATTGAGTAATGATTTTAAAAAAATACTCTTTTTTTGTTTTCTCACATGAAAATAATAAAATTCTCCAAAAAAAAAAAAAAAAAAAAAAAACGAACAATGGAAATATGAAAAAAAAATACATAACAATGGTAAAATTCCTTTGAATTTATTTATGTTAATTACATTTCATAATAATTTTTTATTTATTGTTTCACAATTTTTACCAAACGAATCGTATTTAAAATATTCATAAATTAATTTATATCCATGTAAATAATAAAAGTGGTAATAATCCACCATTTTCTACAACCACGACAAATTCATTGATAACCTTATTTTATACATTTGTTTGGTTTTCGTTTTACGTTAAAATACGTCACGTTTTTATTAAAGTGACTTGAATTAATAAATAAATAAGTAGTATTAGTAGTGATAATTGATTTTTCTCAGTTTTTTGTGCATAAAAAAAAAAAAGAAAAAAATTACGAAGTAATCTGGCATACGCTGAATTTGTTTACCTGTGTAAAATAATTTACATATTAATAAAAAAAAATATTTTAAATAATAATAATAAAAAAAAAAAAAAAAAAATGGCCAAAAGTAACAGCATTGAATTATCACCATTGAGAAGTCTCGATGATTTCCTATTAGGCTCGGCCAGATTTCAACTACCAAATTATAGGGATATGGAAAAATGGGGGAATAGAGTTGTACAAAATTTATTATACTATCAAACAAATTATTTTCTCATGTCAATTATTATGATACTCGTTGTCACCGTTTTACATCCAGTTAAAATGGCTTGTGGTGGTTTGACAATACTTTTAATGTATGCCTTATTCTCATTTTTAATGAATTCTACAAGGTTAGTAACTATTATTATTATCATTACCACTACCATTACCATCAATAACACTGTTCGATAATTTTAGATTCGACAACAGGAAAACATATGTGACTCCAAATTACAAAAATTCCTTTTTTTTTTAAATTTAAAATCATTATTATTATCAATTGATAATAATAATAACTAAATTTGTGATAAAGATGATATTAAATATTTACATAAACATTCGAAACAATAAAATTATCATTATTTTTTTCCCGATTCGTTAGACTTTGTACATAAACAAAATCATTTTCGAAACAACTTTTTTTTTATTAAAATATTAATTAATATTTCCTTACATTTAAATTTATGATAATAATAATAATAATAATGATTAGGTTAATCGATTTGACAAAAATTTTCTTTTTATCGTTTCAGCTCTGTCACAAGATTGAAAAAAGATTATCCATTTTTGGGGATTTGTCTTATGATTGGTGGAGCATGTCTCATGGTTTACATGTTGGGATCATTATTGGTTTTTCTTTTCGGAATACTTTTACCCATTTCTGCGACATTCATTCATGCATCACTAAGGCTTAGAAACATAATGAATAAATTATCGACCATTGAAAGGGTTGTTTCAAACAGGACACCGATGGGAGTTTTCTTAGAATCTCTCGGTATGGAAGCTGATTTTATTTCATAAATTTAATTTTTTTTTTTTTCTGCGGTTAAAAAACACATAGTGATAATAATAATAATGATAATAATATTGCTATTCAGTAGTTTATTAATTACAATGCTTAATATATATTTACCAATCAATTTTGAGAAATTTATTCGAATAAATTTTATCGATATTGTTTTTTTTTTTTTTTTTGAGAGATTAACTTATTAAATATATTTATCGTTTGTTAGTTCTTTATTAATTTATTAAAACAAATGTTATGTCAGTTATTAATAATTAAACTTTTATTAAAGGTTATTAAAAAATATTTATGTAGTATTTGTAGATAAAAAAAAGAAAAACACAAAAACTTATTCGATATTTATGTAATCTCACTTTGAAAATCGTTTTATTTATTTATTTATTTATTTATTAGTATTATTAAAAATTTAATTAATCGAATAACTAATTTAATTTATTTATTGTTTTTTTTGTTCAATCGTGCAAAGTAATAGTAATCGTTTTTGTTTATTTATTTATTTATTTATGATTGTTAATTAATTTTTTATTATTATTTTTTTTTTATAAATATTTTATGTTAATATAAAAATAAATAACGAACTTGTATTGATTCGTTTAGAATTAATTAATAATAATAATGATGATGATGAAAATTTTCTCTCTCTCTTCATCTCTCTTTATAAATAAATAATTATTTAATAATTAATTAATTTGTTATGTAAATTTTCTATTTTTTTTTTTTTGGAAAAATAAATTTTTAAAACGAGGGAGGGATGGGAGGGGAGAGAAGGGGGGGGGGGAAACAAAGGATAAGAAAACAAACGAAGGCGTCAAGTCAAAAACAGTGAATTGTTGATAGCGTAGGGTAGTACGAGGGGAGGGGTGGTCGTGGCGGTGGTGGTGGTGGTGGTGTTAAGGGGGATGAAGGTAAAAGAGAGAGAGAGAGGGAGGGAACGTACAAGGATAAAAAACGGCTGTAAAAATAATCTCTTGTTTTCTTCAACAGTTTTCCCCTTCATCCTTTCCTTACTTTCCCTCTCCCTTGATGCTCCCCCTCTCTCTCTCTCTCTTTTTCTCCCCTCCCTCGCACCACTTCCCGCTTTCTTATAATCCCGCCTCATATAATCTCACCAACTTTTTTAATTCATCCCTTAATTTTTAATTACAAACAACAATATTTTAATTATTAATTTTTATTCAATTTTTGTTATTTCCATTTAGAAAAAAAAATAATAATAATAATAATGATAATGGTAATGATGATAACGATAATAATGATAATAATAAATAAAAGTTATTAAAAACTTTTTCAATTATTTTCAGCGACTAATAATAATAATAATAATAATAATAATTAAAATTTTTATTTTTCATCGTTTTTTTTTTTTTTAATTGAATCATTAATTACGTTATTATTATTATTATTATTACTATTATTATTAACATTAATTTAATTTTGTTTGATGATGATAATGATGATGATGATTTTTCAGATACTTTTTCGTAATCGGTGCAAAAATTTTAAATAGTTAATAAAATATCGATTGATTATTATTAATTCGTCACTAAAAATATTTTATTAATTTTTTTTTTTTTTTTTTTCGAAAAAATTATCGATGAGGTGGTAATCGATCGATATATCGAAAAATTTTTCGATTGTTTGTACCAAAGCGACAACTCAAAATTCTTTTTATCGATAAACCGAAAGGATTCGAAGTTATTCCTTTCTTGTTTTATTCGTCAACGTTTTTATTTTTCAAACCTTTCCGTTCTTTTTATTATTATTATCATTATTATTATTATGGTCACTCTTAAACACGACAAGGCTTGTCTTATTTGTCGGGGTATTTAAGCATTAATTCCAGGTTTTTACCCGACGGTTCCTTAAGGATGAATCCTCGAATTTCGTCGGTGCTATTTTTGCTAATATTTTCCCGAAGAATGTGGGCCGTCCCATTTATTAATATTATTATTATTATTATTATTATCATTTTCATACGTTTTTGTCGTTTGTGGGAATTCGTGGTTTGTTTATAAATTTTTTTTTTTTTTTTTTATTTGCAGAAAAATTACAATCATCCGCCGACGGTTTTGTAACAAAATCACAAAAAAAATATTATTAACAACGTAACAAACAACACAACAAACAAACAATAACAAACGTTTTAATTATATATATATCGAACGGGAAGGAGGTGTAATGGGAGAGGGGGAGAAAGGAGGGGGGTAAAATTTTCATCGGTGAGAAATAAAAAAAAAAACCAAAAATTCCGGATCGTTATCGATTTAATTATTATAATCGTTATCATTACCATCATCATTATTATCTGGAAATAATTATTATTATTATTTAATAAGGACGTCATATTTATATATTATTAATAATAATAATTTTATATGAGTAGTGTATGTAGTTAACGCTAAGCCGCCGCCATATTTCTTTTTTTTTTTTTCATTTCAGGTCTTTTTTCGTACATAATATTTTTCTGTCTTTTGTTTTTAATGAACGAATGGAAAACGAAAAGGCATAAATTAATAAGAAGTTTTTGAAAAAAAAAAAAAAAAAAAAACTCTCCCCCCACTTCTCCCCCTTCAACCCCCCCCCGATTATTGTTTTAAAAAAAAAGGATTTAACGAATCCGTTTTCATCTCTCGTAAGAAACCAAATAAATATTTTTTTTTTTTTATTTTAATATTTTTTTTTATAGGAAAAAAATATACATATTATTATTATTATTATTTACATTTCAAAAAAAATGTGTTTTTTATTTATTTATTTATTTATAAACAATAAAAATTTTTGTCTTCTGCTTTTTTTTAAACAAAAAAATTGTTTTCCGTTACGTTTACGAAAGTTAATCCTAACGATTCGTTCGATTTTTTTCTGTTTTTAAAAATAAATAAATAGCTAATGAATGATACGACAGCAGACGACAAAAATTTTAAATTTATTATTTGATAAATTTATTAATTAATTAATAAAGAAGAGAGAGAGAGAGAGAGAGAGAGAGAGACGGGGGGAGGGAGGGTAAGGGAGGGCAAGGGAATTTCGTAATCATCAAATTTTCAATATTTTAAACAATTTTATTATCCGTTGGAATTTTCTATACGATAATCATTTCAATAACCTTTTGACCTTTTTAATAATTGTCCAAAATTTATTAGAAAAAAAAAAACAAAAAAAAATTGGCGGGAAATTTAAAATTCAACACATGCACACTCTAACGTTTTAATAATTTTAACGTAAGAAGACATCACGCGAGGGTAAAAAAATTATTGATATTATATAAAAAGTATATTTCATCTTATAATAAATATCGTTTCGATAAATAAGGTAAGAGAATAATTAAGGTTGTTGCGTAATAAAAAAAAAAAAAAAAAAAAAACGGTTTTTTTCGAGTGTGTGCGAGAGAGAGAGAGAGGGAGAGATGATTTGGAAAGAAAAAGAGAGAGAAAAAAACAAAAAAAAAAAAAGTTTGAGGGCACGGGAATAGTCTGGAGGTAGAATAAATCTCAGGTACCGGTTAAGTCCCGAGTGAGTGTAACGACCTAATGGATACAAAAAAAAAAAAAAAAAAGACAATCGAATGGATGGATGGCGTTCGCGTTCTTTCCTCTCTCTCTCTCTTTCTTTCTCTCTCTTCTCTTTACTCTTTCTCTCTCTTTCTCTCTCTCTCTCTCTCTTCTCTTTACTCTTTCTCTCTCTTTCTCTCTCTCTCTCTTCTCTTTACTCTTCTCCGTCTACTAGTCGCGTTTACCTATCGGGGGAAAAAAATTATAAAAAAAATAACTTCCCTATAAGCTAAACAAATTTCTACCTACTCTTCTTATTTTTTTTCCATACGAAAACATTAAAAAACCTGCAATGCATACCTGAAACGCTCTTTTATTAAATACGCACGTGTGCGTAGTCGTACCTTGAAATTTTTTTTTTTTTAAATTCGTTTTTATCCGAAATCTTCCATTTAAGACCAAAAAAAAATGATTGTCTTCTGCTTTCATTTCGTACGCCGCCATTTTGTAACGAATTACAAAAGCAAACAAATCATCGAGTCGGTTGTATTCGTTATTCGAGATTTTAACACTTTATTAAATCATTAATCGCGTAACGTATGCGTAAATAAATCGATTAAAAATAATTTCGATTAATCGATTAATCGATTTATTCGATAATCGTTTTAAATGCGATTAAAAAAAAAGCTGAAAAGTGCTCAATAGTGATGCATTTAAATATGACTTGGAGAATTTGTTACTAGAGATTTGTGTGTGTATGTGTGTGCGTGTTCGAGTGCGTGCGTGCGTGAGTGAGTGCGTGCGTGCGTGCGTGTGTGTGCGAGTGAGTGAGTGAGTGAGTGAGTGAGTGACTGTGCGAGCGAGTGTGTGTGTGAGAGAGTGAATCTTAAGAGAACACTCTCTCAATAGACGCGTGTACTGTCAACGAGTTCGGATGTGTACAAAATTTTTTCTTTCTTTTTTTTTTTTTTTTTTTTGTCTCTCTCTTCTTGTGTGTCGTGGCGTGTGCATGCGTGCATGCGTCCATGCGTTCGTGCGTTCGCGTGTAGCATATATATATATATATGCGATCCGTGCCAATTTTAATAAAGAAAAACGCGTTCGTCAGTTTGTTTTAAATAATCTTCCGGAGGTTGTTGTTGTTATTATTATTATTAGTGTGTGTGCGCCATCATCGCGAACGTTTTTTTTTTTTTTCATATTCGACGTTCGTTAACCGTTTTTTTTGTTTTTCACCGGCCAACGTTCGTCGTCAAAAGGTTTTCCTTTGTTTTCTGTCGTTATTATTGCCGGTGGTGTCGGTGGTAGTGGTGGTGGTGGTGTCGATGGTGATTCGCGATTAATTCTCTCTCTCTCTCTCTTTTTCATACGCGGTTACAATCGACTTCTTTGTTTATAAACAATTTTTTTTTTAATGTTCGAAAAACGTTTTTCCCTCTCTCTCTCTCTTCTCTCCTTTCCTTCTTTTTGTGTTTTCCTTTTTCGGTCATTTTTTTTTTTTTTTTAAATATTTAAAATCTACTCGATGGTAAGTTTTAAGTTTTGCCAACTTTGCTTTTTTACGAGAATTCCTCGTCACTTTTTTTTTTTTTTGTCTCCTTCCCCGTCTGTCATTTTTATTTTATAGTTTTTTTTTTTTTTTTTTTTAATGATCCATTCCGTTAAATAATTTTAACTATAAAATATATATTTAAAAGGTTTTCATCTCTCTCTTTCT